GCCTACACCAGATAGGCTAAGTACAGTTCACTTATTAGACACTAAGCCTCATCAGATAGTACAGATAAGCCTACACCAGATAGGCTAAGTACAGTTCACTTATTAGACACTAAGCCTCATCAGATAGTACAGATAAGCCTACACCAGATAGGCTAAGTACAGTTCACTTATTAGACACTAAGCCTCATCAGATAGTACAGATAAGCCTACACCAGATAGGCTAAGTACAGTTCACTTATTAGACACTAAGCCTCATCAGATAGTACAGATAAGCATACACCAGATAGGCTAAGTACAGTTCACTTATTAGACACTAAGCCTCATCAGATAGTTTATTTAACCTCTTCCAGACATCATTGATATCCCTTACATGTTTGTCATTCTCACAGCAGAAATGCTTAACTAAGCTATCCAAAACTTCAGACAAACTTACTAAACATTATCTAGTTTTGGTTTTAACGAATTCACATGATTTGATTTAGTTTTTCTATCTTTTTTGTATATTGAAAAATTTCCAAAATGTTGTTACGAGACAATTTTTGAAAAAAATACTATATATATATATATATATATATATGTATATGTTGATAAACATGTATCATAATGATCATACATACAGTACCACTATCAATGATATCAGGTTCAATAGCCATCCAATCTGCATGAAGCCAATCCAAAGGCTGTCACTGTTTCCCAAGAGAGCAGAATACACCAGCTATGTATGTTATTAAACTAAACTGTTTCAAATATATAAAAAAAAAATGAAGAAACAAGATTATTAAAAAATTTTCATTTAAAAATGGGGATCTTCAAAAAAAAACATAAAGCAAAAGTGCAATTGTGAAAAATGAAAACAAACAAGCTTAAGGTTTGAGACATAAGTGTTAACATTATTTCCTTAAGCTACAAGTCCCTATTTTGACTTTCCTAAAAATTACAGCTTTCAGACATGGATTCAAAACAGGGACTTGTAATTTGAGAAAATAATGTTAACATATCTTATTTCTGTATTTCTTTGAAGCTCCCTATTCCCCCTTTATAAATTATTTTTTTATAATCTTGTATATTAGTATGTTTTAAGGTTTGCATGCTTATCGTGCTTTATATAATTTTAATTTCACAATTTACAATAATCAGTGATTTCTAATAAGTGACGATGTGGGTTTTCCCTGTACGGTTGTAGGCAGAAGTTTGACTTTGTCTTTTAGTTTTAAATTTAAAACAATTGGATAGGAATATGTAATACGTCACTTTGTTAGTATACAGATATGAAGGGCTATCTTACAATTGCATTTCATATAATAACAAATGTGTTTTTAGTGCCGCATTGTCACTCTGCCTTTTATGTTCTTATGATAATTTTTAAACTTAGCCCTAAAGTAAAATCGTAGATGATTAGAGCTAAGCCTAATATTAATAATAGGGTATATTTGCTACTATATATAATCCTACGTCGTATGACCGTTTATAGAATGACACAAAGTTCACGTATCTACTAATCTAGTCAGGTGTAAAGAGAACTGTAACTTGTAAATTCAACAAAATTACCAATAATATATATAATCCGATAAATATAAATTTTACCTTTAGAAAGCTCCATAAAGTATTGATAGTGATAACCTTAGAAACATGTAAACAAGAGGGTTGATTTTCCAGCAAAAACTTCGTGTAGTTTCGTTTGCTTTTGGCTAACGCCAAAGCGCTCGTATGTTTTGCGTCCTAATTTTTATGTTCTCCCTCTTTCTCCAAACTGTTTAAAATATAACAATATACACTATTTTTTTTTTATCTATACACATTTTACTTGTGTGTATATATATATGAACCTGCCTGCAAATAATATTAAAAATTATAATAAAAACATAAAAGCAAACATTTTAGTTTATAAGGGGTTGTACTTTTCTAAAATTTGTTAGTTTTGTCACTAAGCGCAAAGCTACACACAGGGCTGTCGGTGCCTTGCCCACCACGGGTATCGAAAGCCGGTTTCTAGTGTTATAAGTCCGGCGACATACCACTGTGCCACTAGGGGAGCATTTATAAAGTATTTACTTTACCATTTATGACGTCTTGCACATAAACAATAAATCTCAAGGATATTAGCTAAAGACTGCTTGTTTGTTTGTTTTTAGCAGTTATATTAGGCTATCTGCTGTATCCATCGCGGGGAATCAAGCCCAAGATTTTAGCGTTGAAATGATCGTTTGAGAGCAAAGCCAAATTGGGCTATCTACTGTGTCCACCGCAGAGAATCGAACCTAGGATTTGAGCATTGCAAGTCCACAACTTACCGCTGTCCCATTAGGTGACTAACGTTGTAAGTCTCTAAACTTACCGCTTTCCCATCGGAGAACATTAGATAACGAAAGTCGTACTAATCATTTCAGAAGAGACCCATCGTCAGGTGTATGTTATTATGTACGAATAATGCAGCTTTTGCTGAGTATGTCGTAAAATTATTTTCGTTTTTACTCTTACTTTTTTAAATTGAGTAACATATGTTGTAACCGAATATTTTAGGGATAAGTTTGAAAACCTAATTCTTATACAACATTATTTGTCCTAGATATTTTATATTGATTTATTGGTATATGGTTTGTTGATAGTTTTATGGTATTGTTGAATAAGTATATTGATGAAAACACATATAGTTAATTTAAAGTCCGATATGCCTGCTCACATCTTATAGTATAGCATAAGTAAATACTTAATTTTTCATATTCTTATGCAATAGCTGCCTGACAACCGTATTTAGACACACACGATTTATTAAATTTATTTATTAATTTTTTTATGAACAAACATATTCTTGTATGAAGCGTATTATGCTGAAACAACAGTAAATTGACAAACAACGATTTACAAACCTAATGAAAATTATTTAATGTAGAGAACACAATACATAACATAAATTTCGTTATACTTATAATTATTGTAATTAATTTATTTCTTTGTATGTATGTGTTTTTTAATATAAACATAATGTTTCAACTATTTTTACCCTTTAAATTATTTTTCTTATTATCATTAATGTCTTTCTCATTTGATAACCCACTGCCACGTTTCAGGAAAAAAAGAGTGGAAAAAAAAAGAATACAGACAACCAATCACAAACATCCACATGGTGATCCAATAAGGGTTTCATTACGTATTTTCTTTCCATATATTTAAAACAAGCTACCACGTTGCTTAATACTACTAGCAGGTCAAAATACTTCAAGCTGAGCATATTCACTCAGTTTTGGATAGTTAAATACCGTAACAATTTAACAGAACATTAGCATTTAAAAAGAAATGAAGCATTACTCCTTGCAATTAGTGGCCTTTTTTATGTTTATAACCACTTTATCATCTATTGGGTTAGCGACGACAGAAAAGAAACCAAAAGGACCTAAAGTTACCGACATAGTAAGTGTTTTTCATTATTGTTATTTGAAAAAACCAACAATAAAGTCAAACAAAACGGTATTTTTAAGAGAGTTATATAGGTTTTAAGTTCACGTTGATTTTTTTATAATTTTAACTTCAATAGTTAAAGTTACAGACATTTTATGAGTTAAAATTATAAGAATATTACATTTCTTCTTTAGTGGTACTGCATTATTAATACAATAATACTATAGTAAATCACTATTATTAGTAGTAATACATTCAGTTCAGTTTTAACTCATTATTTAAAGTTTAACTAGCTTGTGTTTACTTTTTAGTGCAAAAAGTACATTTAGTCTTATCAGTTTTACATTTGTATATTGTAGCTGAATAAATATTTACTTTTCATACTTTTTAAATTGTCATCCCGAAAAGAGATAATTAACTGAACTTGGAGTGAAAGATTAACAGATTAAAATTCCGTTACATAATCCTAATGCTTTAATGGTTCAAATTTAACAGTGAATGTTTAATTAAAATTGTATGGTACTGGGATACAAATTTGGCAGATCACTAAATGTTGGGTGGTGTTTAATGGAAGAGTTTAAAGCTAGTGTATAGTATATACGTGTGTATTGTAAAATTTTATATTGTAATCAATATACAATTCTCCCAACATTGATTTTTGTTATAAGTTAGGCTTAAAAATAAAGCTTGTTTATGGAAGGAGACTGAACTATCAAAACTGAGAATAAAATACTGGCAATTTTATGAAAACAAATTTCCTCTCACACTTCAGTTAGTTCTATGGTTTTGTATGTTATGAAGAAGGATAGTAGCAGAAATATTTATTTGATTCCTAGAATCAAAAGTTTTGTTTTTGCTTTGAGTTCAGAACACAAGGCTGGACTAACCAAAAGGCAGTTTTTTTTTGTTTTTTTTTTTATGAGTCTTCATTGTAAAATGTCCCATCAAAGTGATTTAAGTTTTGTTTTTGTAACCTTCTCAGATATTGTAGTATTATATCTGGTAAAATATTGTTTTGATGTGTGAAATAATTTCCAAGATAAAGAAGGCTTGTGGATAACTTAGGTTCCCAGTTGAGGTCTATCGTTCATCTTGAAACCTTAGGAAAGAAATATAATTACCAACTTAAAAATCCAAATTAATTAGTTTTATTTTTTCAGGTATATTTTGATATAACAATTGGTGGAGAACCTAAAGGTAGAATAGAAATCGGTCTCTTTGGAAAAACTGTTCCCAAGACAGTGAAAAACTTTGTTGAAACTGCAACAAAACATTCAACTGAGGTGAGCTGTAAAAAACAAACCTTTTAAGTTCAGAGAGCTTAACCATTGCAGGTGTTAATAAAAATTAAGATTTTCTTTGTTAGAACAAGTTGTTTTCTTGTGTAACAAGACAATGGTTTTAAAATGAATTATTTTTAGTTACCTAAATTTGTTGACAGATGTAGTAAAAATATTCTAAGTTCTTTATGTAATAAGTATATAGTATAAATTATTAAAACTGTTTTATAAATTTTGACTCTGGTGTTATTTTTCAATACCACATTCTGTACATTATACTTTTTTACGTAAACTCAGAAAAGTGAAGATGGCAAGTTAGTTGGATATAAAGGAAGCATCTTTCATCGAGTGATCAATGACTTCATGATCCAAGGAGGAGACTTTACAAACGGAGATGGTACAGGAGGTATGTAACCTTTTATATTATCAAGGAGGAGACTTTACATATAGAGATGGTACAAGAGGTATGTAAACTTTTACATTATCAAGGAGGAGACTTTACAAATAGAGATGGTACAGGAGGTATGTACAGTTTTACATTTAAAATTTGTATACAATGATATCACATGTGGTAAGTTCAGTTTAAAAACATTTTATTTATATAATTTTATTCTTTTTTTAGTGTAATAAAAATATTATCTGGCCAGTTTGTTGCATTAATCACAAACAGTGGAGTGTATTTAAAACTGTGATTACTGAACATGGTGTTATTTTATGAGTGCACCTTAAGATCAAGTAATTATAATTAGAAATATTAACTTCATACTATGTAAACCATCTTGTTGAGATTGCAGGTTTAAGTCTAGATCGTGTTTGAAACATGCACACACACATTGCCTGTACTGTGAAATCCAATAGTTAAAACAATTTATCTTATCTTTAGGACGAAGTATTTATGGAGAGAGGTTCCCTGATGAAAATTTCAAACTGAAACATTATGGTGCTGGGTGGTTGTCCATGGCCAATGCTGGGAAAGATACGAATGGTTCTCAGTTTTTCATTACCTGTAAGAAAACTTCCTGGTTAGATGGGAAGCATGTTGTGTTTGGAAAAGTCATTAAAGGAATGGTAAGAAGTTAAAAGTTATTAATATCTAAAAAACTGATAACAAGCTGGTTTCTTTATACGGGTATTTTACCTTTATCTTTCCTTCCGTCTTTCAGAGCGTTGTGCGGAAAATTGAATCAACGAAAACAGACAGCAGAGATAAGCCAGTCAAAGATGTGGTTATTGCAGATTCCGGTACTATTCCAGTAGAAACACCATATTCCGTAGAAAAGGCTGATGCCATTGAATAAACAATGAAAACCTTTGTTTACCTTTATATGATATTTATATATATATTGAGTTTTTCCAGAAGTTATCTACAATAAAGTTTTCATTTTATTCTGGATTTATACAGTGACACAAAAACCTTTTTTGTATATTCCGGTACTTCAGAATTAAAAAATTAACTCCAAATATTGTGACCAAGTTCTTGCTTGTGAACAGATACAATGTAACATCATGACCTTTTAACCTCATTTGTTGAGATCATATTTTTACTTGTGAATATACCCCACCTAGCATCATGACCTTTTAACCCCAGAAGACCATATTCCTGCTGTAATCTCTGACAATGTTATTTTATTCAAACAAAATTTTAGGTAATATAAAAAAACAAAAACACTTCTCTACAAATTCAGTTTATATTTTTTAGAATAAACCTAAGTTTTAATATTAACATCATAATCTTTCTTACAATTTTAATATCATGCTCATAACCAGAAAGTTAGTTATAATTTTAGAAAAAGCCTTATTAAAGATGTACATCTGGTTCTTTAACATGAGCTTTGTGAATCCATGAGGTTAAAAAGTTTCAGACATATGGAAAACTGTGATACTTATATAAAACTTCAAGCTTTGGGCTTCTTAGTTTGAGCCCTCTACTGGAAGACTGGACACAATATTTAAATTATTGCAGCTTGGCAGCAATGTAAACACAAGACAACCTCCAGTGAAACAACAAAACTTTAGAAACATATTATTCAAATTCAGTTTACAAAGACTGTTAAATGTTAACAAAGAATTAGGTTTTTAGTCAAAATGTTCACCTTTACTGTTGTAACCTTCTAGTTTTGCATTCTTGAACACCTGAAATAATATTAGCCATAAGTACAATCTATCAATATTTCAAATTAATCAAGGGTTATCCCATTCTGTGATCTCCTGTTAGGCTTTTATTATCACTGTGAATGATAGTATGGATAACGTGCCTTCATTTGAGGTATAAACTGATCTTGTTAAGATAACACAGAATGGTCAACTTCAGTAAAGGCTTTCTTTTGTTTTTCTCTAAACTCTATTAAAATTCTAAGTAAATGGTTATTTAATTTCACACTTCTGTTAGCACACAGGAACTAGTTACAAACCTGTCTTGTTGTCAGCTTCTGTTAATTTACATGTAGTAGTTACTAATATTTGCTGTAATTTCTTTTATAGGAAGCCACAAATATCTATAGTCACATCAATTACAAAAAGTCAGTAACTGTGTATATTTAATGAACTAAAAGTACGGACGTTGAGCCAAAAATTACAAAGTTTTACGGTATATTTTGCAATTTTACATAAACAAGACATGAATGTATTATTTTGTGTTATTTTATTATTTGTTTTAAATAAATAAAAGTATTAAAAGTATAAATGTTTTGTAGAACATTGTATTTTTCTCTTTTCATAAATCAAATTTATGGTTACAGCTATTTCTTGTTTCTTAAAGGTATATTGTACTATATTTCTATCCAAGCCTAAAATGTGTTTTATTGGCAAGTTAATACTTCATTTAGCCATAAATTGTTTTGTGATTGGCCATTAATACCTATAAAAAGAAATTAATCTGACATAACAGAATAAGATTGTGATAATCTGTAACATTGGTTTTGCGTGTTTATATCTGATCAGAATCATA